AAATTGATGAATGGTGGATGTAGGACAAGGGTATGAATTAATGAATGATGAATGGTGGATGTATGACAAGGGTATGAATTAATGAATGATAAATGGTGGATGTATGACAAGGGTATGAATTAATGAATGATGAATGGTGGATGGATGACAAGGGGATGATTTGATGAATGATGAATGTGGATGGATGACAAGGGTATTAATTAATGAATGATGAATGGTGGATGTATGAAAAAGGGGATGGTTTGATGAATGATGAATGGTGGATGGATGACGTGGGGATGAATTAATGAATGATGAATGGATGACAAGGGGATGACAGGATGAATAGGTGAAAAGAGAATGAATTGATGAATGGATGACAAGAGGATAAATTGATGAATAAGGAATGGGAGACAAGTGGATGACTTGATGAGTGGATGACAAGAGGATAAATTGATGAATGATGAATGGTGAATAGATGACAAGGGGATGAATTGATGAATGATCAATGATGGCTTGGTGCTCATTATCCATGCAATCTTTCAACATCCATCCAAGTCACAGTGTTGGTGTCACTTTTTACTAGAAAATTATACTTTTTAGAAATCACCGATTTCACTATGAAGAGTTTTTAGTCCTTCATATGGGTTACAGTTTTGAACGGTGCAGGGTAACAGTTTTGAACGGTGCAGCTACATTAAACTAAGCTGCTTTGCTTTGCAACCTGATTGGGTAAACCTTTGATATTTCAAACTTAGATTTATTGATCTAACAGAATTCATAGTGTCAAAAACTCAATTCATTTTGATAAAATTAAGAAGATTTGAAAGATCTCGTGAAATGAAAAAAGTTTTGAATTTCTAGTATGCTGCGGTCTTGTAAATTTTCTCCTTCTTATGCGTAAATCTTTATGAGAAGAGCTATGAGGTCACAAAGTCGAACTAGTGATTTGTCAAAAATTTGACCTGGAACCCTTATATCCGTATAAGAGTAAAGTTTGTGTTTGTTTTTACCTTAAAAATGGTGAATATTGCCTATGTATATTTTCAAAATTAGTTAAATTACCAAAAAAAAATTTACTTCTTTAGAAATAAAAGACGTAAGGTAAGAACAAAGAATAGATATTTTTAAAACTGCATTTGGGGGGGGGGCTTTAGAGGCTGAGCCACCCCCCTTCCTTGGAAAAGTGAAAACTATGTGTCCCAACTTTTGAGGGGGTTTTAATCCCCAACGGAGATAAGCTCTTGGCCTTGGAAAAAGTTTCCTGTATACGCCCTTGCTTGACTCTCGTTAGTAGTGTACTCCCAGTATTCAGATATCCATTTAATTTTAAACTAGTTTTGTAGTAAAATAATAGTCCCTAATTGTATCCATAGTTCCAAAATATTTTTCGTAATTTTCACGAGCACTCTCCGTATTACTAAATCCTTGGTTGCGTGTTTATATAAAGTATTTCTACTTAACACAGGGGAGTGTTTTATTGATTTTAAACTATACAATGTTACGCTATGTAAAAATGTAAAAATCACTTAACTTAGGGGAATTTTAATAAAATCAACACAAGCGTTTTAATGTAGAATTCTGGCAATTGCCTTCATTACCCCATCAATATTTAGATAACCCAAAGTGGAAAATAATCAACTTTCAGCTAGAAAAATAAGAATATCTCAAACATGCTTTATCAGAAGGGTACCTTTGTGAATCAAGATGCCACTTCATAATTTAAAAACATTGAAATTAGGCTTACAGTCCCTTTAAAATGTCCGTTTGACAATGTCTGTAGATAAGGTTATAAAGCAAGCTTTCCTTGATTATTTATTATTTTGATTAATTACTCCAGTTTTTGTTAAATCCCCTCCCCTTCCCCTACTTGTGTTTATACGTCATCGGCCTAACCACAGAATATCGTCCGCGTATCGTCAGACCGGGACGGAACTGCAGCCTGAGTCGCCGGTTGAGAAACCGTATTCTAACTTCTACTCAGCAGCTCAGCAGTCAGTACTCGGAGATATTCCGCCCAGTCTGAGTCTCTTTTCCATATAGACGTGAAAGCTCTCGCTGTTAATTCTATCTGAACTCGTTTAAACTATCTCTTTATCTCTCTGCTAAATTGAGATAACGACTAAAAGAATAAAAAACAGTGAAAATTATTAGGATATAAAAAACGGTAAAATTATATAAATTTTAGATATTATATGCTAGAAAGATATTGTATCTAAATATTTAATCAAAGTTCAGGCATAATTTTTTAAAATCAAACCTTTCTAATTTACAAATAATAAAAATGAAATTGATAATTAATAATTTTCAACTTTTTCATTATTTTATATATGTTCCAAAAAAATGGGTTTTGTAACAAACCCTGATTTAACTTTCTATAGGGCTAAAGCATAATTGTGTGTCTTATTTTACAAAAAGTTTGAACAGATTATTTATACGTTTTTTCTTTGCTGTATCTGTGCAATCCATCAAATCCATAAACAAGTGCGGGTCCTATGTATGTCAAATTACAAATGTGATAATACAGGTGGAAAACGCAATTATTTTCTTCGTATTCCAGGCTCCATGGACCTGGTTTTAGTTTTAAACCTTAAGGAAAGTTGATGAAGCTTCGTGGGAATATTGTCTTGAGTTTTCATTCATTTAGTGCTAGATTTTGTTAGTTTCGTAGTTAGTTTCGTAGGAATAACAAAATTTCTTTCAGTAGAAAATTAAAAGTGACATGTTTTTGTCCACGAGCGACATAATTGCGTTTAAGAGTGACATTTTTTGGCCAAGTTTTTCTTTAAAAGTGACCATTATTTTTGGCCCAGGAGTGACAAGATTTTCTTTTAGTAGTTTATTCAAATGATCCTCCATTAAAAGTTACATATCTGATTCACAACAGTACCCTCTCTAAACATTTATCTGCATATTAATGTAAGAGATATCAATGTTTTTCCATCAAACAATTGACTATTCTCTATGAAAGTGATTTGCGGATTTATGAGAATGTATTTCTTTTTTAAAAATGTCTATTTTTGTCTCAAATTTTGTCTCCTAGTCAGGGGGGTGCCGGCCGCCGGACTATATTGACTGGGACACCCTAAATACAGCTGTTTTATTTCTCTTTCTAAGCTATAACCACAAAATAAGCATTATTTTAGAATCAGTCAATAAAAATATTGTACTTTTGTATTTTCTGCATTTATGCATTCCAATATTTAGAATTGCTCTCAGTTCTCTGTCTCAGATAGTTTAACAATTAAAAGAAGAAAAGATTTTAAGAAATCTCTTTTTTATCCTAGAATAGGATTCTTCATTTTGCCTTTTTTTCAAGAGGAGACGTCAGACGGATAAAAATCCCTTTTAGAATTTAGGGGAAACAATTTCGTCAGAAAATTTTCTTTTGGATATTTTTCTTCCAGTATTTTAAAAAGTGCCAAGGGAATAGGGAATGGGGATTGGAAGAATGTTTTATAAATTCATTAAGATACATACATTCAACATATCACAAATTATTCTAATTGGGATAATAATTAGTAAATGAAAAAATAAGTTGATCACTGTCATGCAATAAATAGTTCCTCTTGTATAGAATCTATTCAAACTGCTAAACTGTATCTAAACGGGTGTTTATTAAAACAAATGTTCTATGTTTAAAGAGAAACTGTCGTCATAAAAATTCCCTTCAAAAAGTGAACGGTCCCTTTAAAAATAAGGAACTCGATTCACACCGGTACCTTTGAAACCTTAATCTGATCAATATTGTGAGAGATATCGTCGTTTTCTTCAAGCTTCAAAAAAGTGGCTAGTTCTGATAATTTTCTATATTGTTTACGGAGCAGAATTAAAGCCACTTTTGAAAATGATAGATCTTCATGGAGGGTCTCTTTAAAATAGGTCTGAGGTCCCTTTAAGACAAACCACGAAGAAGCTTGGTTTAACTTGTGTTTGGATTTAATGATTTCCTCTTTAAACCCTGAAACACCCCTCAAGCAGTTCTAAATACTTTTCTTTAGCTTAAAGCGTGCCAGCACCTACCTGTATATTCTGAGGAGGCCCGAGCCCCTTCTTGGAGATAGGGAATACGAAAATATAAAAGAAAAAAACAGGGGCAATTGGTGAAATGTCATATCTATCTATCTATCTATCTATCTATCTATCTATATATCTATCTATCTATCTATCTATCTATCTATCTATCTATCTATCTTCTAATGTTTACACGTATATTCTTGTCTCCCATCAGTGTTCCTTGAACTACGTGTATTTCATGTATTTTGTCTTCCTTACCACCATAATAGGTTATAGTCGTCTATCTATCTATCTATCTATCTATCTATCTATCTATCTATCTATCTATCTATCTATCTATCTATCTATCTATCTATCTATCTATCTATCTATCTATCTATCTATCTATCTATCTATCTATCTATCTATCTATCTATCTATCTATCTATCTATCTATCTATCTATCTATCTATCTATCTATCTATCTATCTATCTATCTATCTATCTATCTATCTATCTATCTATCTATCTATCTATCTATCTATCTATCTATCTATCTATCTATCTATCTATCTATCTATCTATCTATCTATCTATCTATCTATCTATCTATCTATCTATCTATCTATCTATCTATCTATCTATCTATCTATCTATCTATCTATCTATCTATCTATCTATCTATCTATCTATCTATCTATCTATCTATCTATCTATCTATCTATCTATCTATCTATCTATCTATCTATCTATCTATCTATCTATCTATCTATCTATCTATCTATCTATCTATCTATCTATCTATCTATCTATCTATCTATCTATCTATCTATCTANGAAATTGAGGAGGGAGGGGTCAAAACTTTTAATTAGTTCTAGAGAGACTAGACTGAGTGTTCAGAATGATTTTGTTAATAGTTCTAATTAAGTAATTATAACTTGGTGTAGAATTTATAAGAACTGCGATGAGACCTTAAAGGGACTGTAGGCGTAATTTTAAGTGACCCTCCATTAAAAAAGGGGGCATGAAGGATTTTCAAAGGTACTTAATTCTTAATGATAAATAATGTGGGGAAGCTAACGTCCTTTTCCTAGTTCAAAAAAGTGTTTAAACCTAATAATTTCTCCAATGTTTTTGAATCAGGAATTTCGCAAGTCACTTTTGCAGAGAAGCCACTAATGAAAGTACAGTTTTCAAAAAACATAAATATTTAATTTATGTCTGATTAGACAAAGTTTTTTTAAGGTATCTTCGGGAATCGGATATGCATTAATCGAGGACAACTTGAAAACGCGTTTCCTGTCCCTTTATAATTGAAAATGTTGCTTTTGGCATAAATCAATCAATTAATCAATTACTTTTCACAGAGAAATGAAAGCAACGAAGAAAGGTTGTATTTCAATTTTTTGATATTTTGAAGATTTTTAACTGTTAGCCTCAATAACTTAAAATAAATCAACTATTTGACGTTGAAAACTTTTTTAAAATTTGACTTCATGTTGTCTATTTAGCAGATATGAAGGGTTAATGAAGTTGTAACTCGAGATGGAACACACATTTCTTAGCTTCACTAACTGAACCAGGGTGTTGGGTTACAAAAGTACCCCCTCCCCCTTCCCACTCCCC